TTTTACAGTCCCACCAGCAGTGTATGAGAGTCCCAATCTCTCCACAACCTCGCCAGCATTTGTTATTTTCTGTCTTGTTGAACTTTGCTACTAGCACAGCAACTAATTCTTGATTATGTACAGCAGAGCTCAGCAAACTTTTTCTGGAAAAGGCTCACTAAAACTCAGTGGCAAGGAGTCGGATTCGACTCATAGCAACCCCTCCCTTGGGTTTCCAACGTGGTATCTCTACAGAAGTACATTGCCCAATCTTCCTTCTGAGGAGTGGCTGGTGGTTTGAACCATCAGCCTTCTGGTTAGCAGTCAAATGCTTTAGGCACTACATCACCAGAGCGCCTCAGAAAGGGCTAAAGAGCAAAATATTTTAGGCTTTACAGGCTACAAGTACTCAATTCTACCCTTGTAGCATGAAATCAGCCATGGACAATACATAGACAAATAGATGTGGCTGTGTTCCAATAAAACTTTATACAGCAAAATTTGAATGTCATAATTTTCATGTGTCACAGAATATTCTTCTTTTGATTTTTTAATGCATTTTATTGAAATATAATTTATGTACAGTGAAATACACAAAACTAAAGTAACATGGGTCAATGCAAGTGTTCCCTCCCTTCCCCTCCCACCCCTGCCAACCAACAAAGAAAGTTTCCTTCCATATATAAACCTTCCCTTGACCCTCCACAACAATGAACTAATACTAAATTTGTCCTGTGATTGACTTATTTCACTCAGCATAATGTCCTCCAAGTTCATCCATATTATGCGGTGTTTTGCAGACTCTACATTTTTCTTTAGTGCTGCATAGCATTCCATTATGTGTATGTACCATAGTTTGGTCATTGCGCTGTAGTAAATTACCTGGTATGGCTTTTGTAGCCATAAGTCTTTGTAAACTCCATGGTGGAATTTGCTGTGAGCAACTGATGAGCTATTGATTGTAAGTTATCCACCTGGTGTATTTCTGTTGGGTGTGGCACAAAGCAATGTTCTGGGAGGTTTGCTCTCTCTCAGGTGCTTAGAATTCTGATGTCATGATTGGCTAGTTTGGCCACTCGGCCAGGCTCAAAAGGAGGCCTCCTAGAGGCAGAGGTCTCTCTGACTGCTGGCTAAGGACTGCTGCTGAAAGAGACACATGCTCCTGAGAGACACACGCTGCAGGGAAAGAGACTCAAGAGATGCATTGCTGAGTGAGACACCGAGGGACACGCACTGCTGGGAGAGAGACTGTGAGAGACTCTTGGCTGAGAGACGGTGGGCTGAGAGAGACACTGAGCATTTTCCCTGAACTTGAATTGTAGCCTGGTGCTTCCCTAATAAACCCCATAATCTGTGAGTTCTGTGTGGCCATTGCAGTGAATTACAGAACCCTGAAGAAAGGTGGTAAGTGCTGCCAGAGGAACGGTTGGTGTCAGGATGGGTGAAAGGGCTGGAGAGAGGCAGCATGTCTGGCCTCGCAGGAATAGGCCTTAGGCTACTGATGGTGATTCTGTCTTCCTCTTGTGTAGTTAAAGGAGGTCAGAAGATGTGGCCTCCCTGCCCTTTTAGCAGTCATTCACTCTTCCACTATAAATCTTAGAGATAAGCCTCTTGCAGACATGTAATTATCAGCGAATATGAATTTGATGCTGTCATTTTTGTTACGTGCTTTTTCGTGGTGTCGATTTCTTTGTTCCATATAATTTTCTATGCTGAGCTCGTCTTGTTTATGAATCGTGTTATCACTTCCTTCATTGCTATTGTTTTAGTATTTGCTGAATATTTATGCTGGTCCTCTCTTTTGATGTGAAAGTTTATCATTTTTCTTTGAGGTTACGCTGTGATTTACAGTTTTCTTTCTAAGTTTAGAATAGTCCATTCTATCTTGTAGTTGTTTTGACTTCCCTACCATCTACAAGTTCTGTAATGACAGTTTTTTCCCTCTTTTTGGTTTGTAGTTGTCCTCGTTTGTCAATTGATATCTCTGGTTCCCTGTTTCCAATCTTGTAGGCCTATATACTTTGGATACTTCCATAGCTGGGTTGGTTTCTGGGTTATATGCTCATGTGTGTTAATGGTCAGTTGTTATTGGCTATTGTTGCTTCTCTGTCCAAAGCATCTCTTGCAAGACTGATCTGGTTTTAACAAATTGCCTTAATTTCTGCTTATCTGGAAATGTCCTCATTTCACCATCATATTTGAGGGACAATTTGCTGGGCACATAATTCTTGGTTGGAAATTTTTCTCTTTCAGGGTTTTATATATACCATCCCATTGTCTTCTTGCCTGCATGGTTTCTGCCGAGAAATCTAAGCTTAGTCTTATTGGTTGCCCTTGTAGGTAACTTTTTGTTTTTCCTGTGCTGCTCTCATGATTCTTTCTTTGTCTTTGGTTTTGCTAAGTTTGATG